CCTAGTGAGGTAGTTGATAGGCTCGTTCACTGTGTCAATGCGCTCATCGAGTATCGGCATCTCAAACATGTTGGAATGTAAGTGTAGAGCTTGTCGGTTGGAGTCTGTGATTGTTAGCTTCTTCGTAGTAGAAACATCCTGTGTGCTTACGAAGTTTGTCGAGGACCATCACGGCTGTACCGACGCTGCTCCACTTGTTGTTTTCAGCCTTGCTGTCCCATTTCTTGACGATGATAGTCCTCAGCCACTCCATAAAAGTAGCTGTCACAGTCCACCCTGGGTCTCCATCGCGATCATGGCTCGAGTTCAGTCTCATCTTTGTCGCCATACCGACGCGCTCTACCACCTCCAGATGTTGTATAACCATATCCACAAGCCCGACAGAAGCTGGAGCTTGTTCTGACTCATCCCGGGTCGTTTCTGCGACGTCCAAACTGGCGAGTATATGTTCGAAACAAGTCCGCGTTCCGATAGCCCGAAGTAAACGATCGGCAAGACGCACTGCCGGTTCGTACTCCAACTCGTCGATGATGTCCATGTAGGGATGCGCAAAGGCGTCAGTATTGGGAGTAGCAGTGGGCACCATGACACCCCAAGATCGAAGCTTGCGTATTTGGGCCCATGTGTGCGGCCATCCAAGCGGCACCAGGGATGTGAGTGCGTGTATGCATATCATGACGATATGTGCGGCTTCACAGGTGTCGAGATAGCGCGAGGCACCTTGATGACCACTGGAGGACTGGTCGGAAAGACTGTTATTGGAAACGCCCTTTCTTGATGGCCTCAGACGAGGACTCTTCTGAATGTCGAGTTCGGGTGGAGACACGAATAAAGCATTCAGCGCGAGCCATAGGCTATCGAAGATGAGCGCACCGTTGCGATGGTTCCAATCTCTGAAAGAGTTCGCTAAGCGTGATGAGTCGATATGAGGTAAGGGTGAGTCTTCGAAATCTTGGTTGATATCATGGAATGATGCAAGTAGCTTTTCTGGGTCGCTCAGAGTATAGAACAGAGATCGGTTGACGAGGGGTTTCGTACGTCGCGTACGTCGCCGACGATCAAAGTCCACAACGTAATTGAAGTCTGTAGCATGGCTCTTTTTATAGCGATGGACGTCCTCTTTCAGCTCATTGAGGATACTGCAATTCAATGTTGAGACAACGAGTACACCGGATGATGAATGTTCCTCAACAGAGGTGTTCTTCGTAGGTAGTTCGGTTGGTGCTGATGATGGCTTCGCGCAAGGCGCAGCAGCCGGGTATGTCCCACCGATAGTGAAGCTTTTCTTTCCTGTTTTCGATATTGATAGCATTGTCGAGTCTGATGCACCATCCACGGCAGTAGGATGTGCTGCTGAAGGAGGATGTCTTTGTGTCGTGCCGTTCGAGGGATGGTAGGGTATCCTGTGGACATGATGCCCGTTAGCCAGAACCTCAGCGCCAGCGTTGTCTGGCTGTGAATTGTCACGAGTGGCCGCTGATAGATGTGAATGCTGACGAACGATACGCGAGTTCTCGTTCAAACGTGATGCGTTCGAATCGTTTGTACCAAGCGTTGGCCTGGTGCTTGGATCCGCATGACGCCCATCGGTCTGGGAAGCGAGTGTAGCGAATGTTTGAGTAGGATGAGCGTCATGTGCAGGAGTATGCTCGGATTTGCGAAGGGAAGCAAGGACAGAAGCAGGTGTGGGTATTTGCGTGGTATAAGAGTATATCATAGTCAAGCTGTCGTACAAGTTCTGACTAAGAGCCTTTGGGTCTTTTCTAGCTTGCTGCCGTTGCTTGAGGGCATTGGTCAAGTCGCCATCCAGCTCTTGTTGACCACTACTTCCCGCATGACGTTGCCTGCGCTGTTGTGCCAGTTGCCATACCGAAGGATAGACAACGTAGTCCTCGGCGGAGCCGTTGGTAGCATGTCGGGCAAGGCTATTTGTAATCTCGAATGACTCAGGCGCGACCTTGAGCTCGTGGGGGCAAAGGCCGCGATTCGGATTGTCTTGACCGGCAAGGTAATGGGCTAGGGCGGTGGCCGTGAGCAATGTAGGCGGACGATGTGGTCTGGACGCGATGCGCTTGCCGGATGAGAGGCACGTTGGGGTATCGCAGTAGGCACTCTTACAGCCATGTAGGATCTGGGATAGGTAGCTAGTCAACAGTCAGCATTCGATCCGTCAATGAGAGGGAGTGACGGGCGCACTGTCGGACAAGATGTTGGAAGCGGCGCTGTCTTTCTGTCTGTGAGCATTCCAGGACGCGGTTGGTGTCTTGTACGTCTATCACATCTTTCCTACGCGAGCGGTTCGAGACACGTGATGACCGCGTCGATGGGTCAGCCGCTGCAGAAGCCGATGGGACCTGGTTGGTGGCATTGAACGGAGCATCGCGAGGGTGCTCAGTCCCGTCTGACATGCTCATATCATCGATGACGATGTTGTTGCAAGAGAGAGTGGCGGCTAAGGATGCGGTCTGGTATTGTATGTGCGAGTGTCATGGTATCACATAGCCACTCGAGGTATACTGTAGCAGACGATAGGGCTGAGGTAGTGGCCGAGGGGTGCTCTTGCCCTGCGGCTCTAATCCGCTGCAGGGATGGCAGGTGCCAGTGGCTTGGCACAACGCCTGCCGATTGATGTCATGCCTGTGCGCTTCAATATTCGCCCCAAGTCGGCCTTTTGCGCAATTCACCATCTTCGCCGTGCATAGGTTGCTGATAAGACGCAGAATCCGACTCCCGCGCCTTCTCAACTTTGTAATCGCGCCCTGCTCGGCCTAGTCGACTTTTGCCCCTCGGCCAGTCATAAAGTCGTGAAATCGTCGGCGCTACCACATCCCACACTCAACCCCACCTACCGCCTATATTTCTACTCCTCCCTCCGAGTGCAACCACATCGTCAACCACCCAAACACTCGCAAAGATGGCGTCGCAGGTTCCTTCCCAGGCTAACATCCAGTCTACGCATCCCTTCACTTGCAACACATGCCAGGTCGCCTTCCGCTCGAGCGAGTTGCAGCGGGCGCACATGCAGACCGACTGGCATCGCTACAACCTCAAGCGTCGCGTGGCCTCGCTCCCACCGCTATCTTCCGAGATCTTCACCGAGAAGGTCCTTGCGAACAAGGCCACCGCTGCCGCCACAGCCGCCAAGGCGTCGTTTGAGAAACTGTGCACCCCGTGCCAGAAGACATACTTCAGCGAAAATGCCTACAACAACCACCTCAACAGCTCCAAGCACCGCATCAACATGGCCAAGTCGGGCAGAGGCGCGCAATTAGATGACGCCGCATCGGTAACGGGCTCCATGGTCAGCTCTGCCTTTTCGCTGGGAGAGTCCATGGCTGAGTCGGAAGCCACCACCGTCAACGGGGACAAGGATGTCGCAGATGTCGCCGAAGGTCTACAAAACGCCAGCCTCGAGGGCGAGGACGTAGCTGAGAACGAGTCCGCCGCCGCCGAAGACGACAAGAGCTCCGTCGCCGCATCGACCAAGCCTGCCACCGATCCCCTCCTCGACTGCCTATTCTGCAACTACAAGTCGCCCAACTTCCAGCTCAACATCACCCACATGGGACGATACCACGGCATGTTCATACCCGAGAAGGAATTCCTCGCTCAACCCGAGGAGCTTATCAAGCATCTCCACGAGAAGGTCCACGCTTACCACGAGTGCCTGAAATGCCACAAGACTCTCCACACCGCCTCTGGCATTCAAACGCACATGCGCGACCGCGGCCACTGCATGATTGCCTTCGACTCGGATATTGAGTTGGTCGAGATTGGCGAGTTCTACGACTTCCGGAGCTCTTACCCTGACGCTGCCGATTTCGACGAGATGGCAGAGGAGGCAGAAGATTCGGACGATTCGTCATCCACAACAGGAGGCGGAATCAAGCTCGGTGCCAGGCGCGAGACTAAGACTACCACAGAGGATGACGCAGCAATGTCGAGCAACGCCGAAGAGGACGCAGGCTGGGAGACCGACAGCACTGTCTCGAGCGTACCGACCGATGAGATCACAGCCGTACCCATCGACCGCAGCCACCGCCACAAGTCACTCAACAAGTCGAAGCACCACAACCACGCCGACCCCCGCCCACACCGCGCTGCCGACGGCTTCCACTCCCACGCGCACCACACTCCCCAAGCCGTCTACCACGACGAATACGAGCTCCACCTCCCCTCCGGCCGCACCGCAGGTCACCGCTCACTAAACAAGTACTACCGCCAGAACCTGCGCAACTACCCCGGCGTCGCCGAGCGCATGGAGGAAGCACAACGCGCCCGCATACCCGGTGCCATCACCGCCGGCGACGAAGACGAAGAGGACCAGGACGGCGACGTCACCATGGACGGCGAGGAAGGCGAGGAGGGCAGCCAACTCCAAGTCCGCGGTCGCGGCCACGACAAGGACCGCCAGCTCCTCTCCCGCGCCAACGGCGGGCGGGGTATGGTCGGTGTCACCGATGCGAAGAAGAAGGAGATCCAAGCTGTCGAGAAGCGCGATAGGAGGAAGGAGCAGGCTGCTCGCAGTCGCTACCAGGCTAATGTTGAGAAGGCGCAGAACTCGCAGAAGCACTTCCGCGATCCCCTTCTGCAGTAGTTGGAAGAGACTCTCGTTTGTTGGCGGATTGCGGCGGTTGGTTTTGGGTTCTTTTCTTTCTTTTATCCGTGTGTCTTTTTAACGAAACTTTTATGAGCATGGGTGGGCGTTGGTTTGCGTGCAGACAAAAGGCATTACACCTAGTGGCTAGAATGTCGCAGACTCTGTGATACACTTTGGAATATGGATTACATTACAAAAAAGATTGAGCTGTCGACATGTATCGTGATGTTATCGTGACCAGGTTTCTTGTATATGCTACGGATGTTTGGCTCTGATACATCGACTTCATATCCATGACATTATCGTACGTTTCCCTACATCCTACATCCCACATTAAACAAACCACATTCAAACCATCCAACCACATCCCCAATATTTTCCCACTAACCCCCTAACCAAACTACTTCCCACTCCTATCTTCACCCTCCCCCCTCAACCCCGCAGCATGCACCTGCCTTTTAATATCAAACAACGCATCGTCAATCTCCCTCTCCTCCTCGCGCCCTAGAACCAGACTCGGAGTGCGGAACAGATATTCCTTGAGGCTCTTAAGCTGGTTGATGATGCTGCGGGGGGTGAGGATGACGCGTTCGGCGAAGGTGCGGGTGGGTGTGTCTGTTTCTGTTCCTGGTGGTGGGTGTGCGGGTTGGGAAGGTTGCTGAGACGAAACATCGACTTCGACTTCTCCTTCGCCTTCTGATCGAGCTTGAAGCTCCACCACATCCTCACCCCCCTCCACCACCTCCATCTCCATCTCCCCATCCCCACCCTCATCCTTCCCACCTCCCTCCATCTTCCCAGACCCAGCCGACCTCGGCCGTGGACTAACCTGCACATGACTCAACCTCTTACTCCCACTACTTCCCGGCGTCGGCGTCGATCTTCTCGCTTCACTGACATCCTGATCCGCACTCTGTCTCGCCCGCTTAGGCGCTGGAGTTTCATCCACCACAGTGATATCCTGCGTGTTTTCGACGTGAGAGAGGAGGGATTGGGAGCGGCGCAGGTTTTGCTTCCGAGTTGTTGATGCGGGGACGGGGGTGGGGGGTTCGTTGGTTGTGGTGGTTGCAGTGGTGGAGGAGGTGGTGGTGGTAGTGTGTGTGGATTTCCGTTTCTTGCCTCGCGGGTTGGAAGTTGGGACTGGGGCGGCGACGGTGATGTTGTCGAGGATGTCGGTGTCGGAGGGTTGGGATGGTTCTGGTTCTGGTTCTGGTTCTGATACCGGGGCAGGAACGACAGCTGGGGCAGGCGCAGGACTCTCTTGCGTCTGTTTCTTGCCATTCTTCTTGTTCTTTGCGGGTGTGCGTCTGGGTTTCTTGCCGCTTGGAGGTCGGGAGGGGCTGCCCATGGAGTGACGGGAGGAACTACGCAGGGAGTACGGCGTTCCCTTCGCGGAGCTGTTGTCGAAAGAGTCGCCTACTCGGCTGGTGCTGCTTGTGTTGGCTTGGGAGCTCTTGCGCGGAGATCGGCGGGCAGGACCGCGGGTTGGTGTCTGGGACTCGTCTACTTCGGTGTCGCTACCAGCTTGGTCCTCCAGCATTGATGACTGTGGATGTGATGCGGCATCGACGTATTCGGCGTTCGAATCTGATTGTGCGGACTCTGTCGCTTCTGCAGGAGTATCATGTACTTGCATATCGGCGTCGATTTGCGCTGTGAGTTGCAGGTCTATGGTGGAACTTGGCACGTCTGACATGATCGTGTCTGAAGGAGGTTCGGGTTCCATTTGCGTATTGTCGTGGAGCGCAACAGCGTCAAGCAGTGCTTCCTCATCGATTGTGGTTCCTTCATCAAAGGAGATCGAAACCGAGCTTTCTGGTTGACGGTACTCAAAGCTAGATCCCACGAGAACATCAGGCTCGCTTTGCTTGTTGTTAGACCTGTCGTCCTTGCTGAACTGAGGCGGCGAAGAGTTCAAGTCATCGTTCGCAAACTGTATGCTTCGCACGGCCGTCGGCGTTGCAATGTCAGTGTCCTCGCTCACAATGTGACGAGTATTTTTACGCGAATGTGGCGTCGGCGACGAGCCAAGGTAGCCGTCCATAGGACCCATGGCTGCGAGAGCCTTTAGCGGAGTTGCCCGAGAGGCGGTGTCTGGCAGGTCATCTGCAGTCATTGCATCCGAGTGTATCTCCATCGGCGATGGCACATCCTCTGGCTGTGGTGAGACGGCGCCCATCTTTGCGAATATACCAGTGCTGAGCCTTTGACGATCGATCATCTCTTTTTGACGGTCGGTCAATACCTGTGATTCTTGCTGGAACGGGTTTGATGGTGAGGAAATAATAGGTTCGAATTTGATCTGAGAGTCATCGTGGCGGAGACGAATCTTTGGCGTTTGTCGCGAGGGTACTCTCCTGGTGGCTGAGGTTGGTACTGCTGGAGATCGAGACTTGGACCTTCGCGACGCTTTAGAGATCTTGAAGGGCGAGGCTTTTACTCGCGGGCTCTTGAATGCACGTTTGACCTCGTCCGCACTCGTATCGGAGTCGTAAAATGAGAGCTTGTTCTCCTGCTTTGCCGTCAGTGACGTGTTGTAGGTACTGATATATCCACTTACAGCATCGTCTTCCCGGACTTCCAGTGATGGAAGAGAAAGCTCGACACTGTTCCGTAATTGGCGCAGAGCCTGCTCAAGTCGAGTAGGGTATCGCAAGCTATCCTCTTTCCCGAAGGTGGCATTCCAGGTCGCAATAGAGATGTTGACGATGCTTCGGCGTCTGCTTAGGAAGCCTGCGGTAACCAACGCTTGTAGGTGAAGCAGCGTCTGGCTGTCCCTGCGCGGTAACCGCTCTATAGCTTTGTTGACTTCCTCCCACATGTTGGTGACCTGGAAATGGTTAGTGATTGCTTACGCTTTCGGATAACGATTAATGTACCTCACGATGCAAGCTCTTGAGTGGCTCTTCCTTGCTCTGCATCTTCTTCTCCGGATCTTCCACCCAAACCTGGATCGCATCTTGTATCTTGCGTAGATACCCAGCGAGATGAGACGTCGAGCAGTGTTGGACCGAAGTGCTGAGCGCAGAAAGAAAGCCTTTGGTAGACTCTACATCGTCTTTGTCAAGATTCCTGTAAGCGGCTGACCCAACGGAAGTGATGGCTCCGTAAAGATGAACATAAGGGTCGATATCATGGGATCTTGCAGCTGTGTTCGAAGGCCAGAGATTCTGCCGACCTTGATCCATCACTTTGCGGCTCATCTGCTTTGGTAGGTTGCGGAGAAGAATGCTGGCATATGCCAGACAGGAAGCTTTGTCTTCGTCAGGTGTGCGCTTCAGGACTTGCTCAGAGACCTTCTCGATCACAGCGAGTGCAAGTGCACCTTCTCCTGCTTCCCGTCGGACGGTACCGACCAAAGTCGACAAAATCTGATGCCCGACGGGCTTGTCTAGCAAGTAGGCTGAACCCAGACTGAGGATTTCGACCACAATCTCGTACTCTTTGCCCAATGAGCGAGCGCTGCGGTCACCTGAAGGGGCTGCTTGATCTTGCAACATGGTATCGAGCAAGGTCACAATCCGCGTCCAGAACTCTGATGCCACTGCACCCTTCAGCGAGCCATCCACCGTTGCGGCACAGTCCCGAAGAAGCTCCAACTTGCTCAACCGAGTGTTTTGAGCAGCAAAACAGGGCTCGATGATCACGTCCATTGCGCGGAGGCGAACAGGATCAGCTAGCTTTCCTTCTGACTGTGTGACGAGAAGATCCAGCAGGAAGAGGAGTGGGGACGATCGGGTGCCTTGATGCCGTGATCGATGCGACGGTGTCGATGCGACTTCGATCTCGTTGTCGGCATTGCGTGTGAGACATTTGTCTGCGAACTGAAAAGCGCCCATCTTCTGCACAACAGTCTCTATCAGGAAGCAGAACTTGGTTGCCCAAAGATCCTCCCTCTTCTGTTCTACCGCAATGTTGTCCGTGTGGCTGTCCCAGATCCGACGCAGCAGGTTGATGATATGTGCCATGGCATCTTTGGTTTCTGTGGACGCCATGATCTCCTTGCTGCTTGCTTCCACCAAAGAGTTGATGACTGCTGTCCACATCGTCTGAAACGGTTCATCTTCGTGCTCTTTGCTTTCGGTCTTGAGTGCAGCCTCTAGAATATTCTCCACAAACTCTAGTACAAGAGCAATCGACTTCCGTACCCACTTAGGATCGACTAGAGGTAGCTCGCCTCGCTGGATCATGGCATGTGGCCGAAGATCTAGCGCCCGATTCTCGTTCCAAGGTTTCCGAGAGCCATCCAAGAGAGCAGACACAATTCGACATGGTATGGCGTGCTGCGGAGCAGACTTTGCGATTATTGGACTCCAGAGGCCAGCTATGAAGTCAGTCCAATGTCCGTCAAATTGTTCAAAAGAGGCTGCTGGTCGAAACGCATAATACAGCATTGTGAAGTATGCGGATGAAACAGCATCGCGCTCGGCTTTCTTTACTGGGGTCTTCCGTTGCAGTGCATGTACTGAGATTTTAACGAACATCCCCGACCAGGCTTTGACTTTCTTTTCTTCGGGTAAGTTCATAAAGTTAACAGAGTATGCCAGGAAGGCAACGGCGACATTGGAGTATAACCGGACTTGGTCGCTGTCCGATGACAGGCACTTGTTAATGAGGACGAGCCATTCCTTCAAGCCTGCAAACGCGTCAAGCGAGTCTTTGAGTAGACCCGTGACAGCAGCCACGATCTGTGGCACCAAGACGGCGTAATCACCACCGAGCATACGATCCAGTTCAGCTGCGAAAACGCTAGCAATTGTGCCGCCGTCGCTCTTAACCCGGTTCAGAACAGACAAGACGGATTTGGCGACATGTCGGTCATGGCCAATGTTCTTCGCAGCCGTTACTGCAGTGTCCAGTGCGCTCTGGCTGATATCCTTCTGGACCGAAACCAGAGCTTTGAGAGTATGCGTGAACCATCGTTCGGTATGCCTGATCATAACGTCCGGGCGTTGCTGAAGCAGCTTCCTGTATATCCGGACCCTGTATGCCTGTACCGCGTGGCCCGATGTTCGCTCGTGGATGGTGTCTAGTGTCTCGAGCACCTTCTCGACGCGTGTCGCAGTCATCGTCTTGGGCCGGAAACTTTGCTGCATCAGGACAGCCAGGTGTGTGTTGACGGTGGTCTTGGGCATGGAGCTATCGGAAGCTACGCGGATGATGCGGTCGATGATGAAGGAGCAGAAGTCTTCGTCCATGGCGGATATCAGGTCGGTGATGCGGAAGAGGGCCATGAGCAGCTTCATCGCCTGTCCAATGAGCTGTGAGTCCAGCCCTGTCCCACCCAAGCCTGGAGCTGTTATGTCGCGTCGTATGAACTGGGTCAACAGAGACATCTTCTGCTTCAGCGCCTGGGGGTCGGGTATCTTGTCGTATGCCTGCATCGTCCTCTGCAAAGAACCGTATGCATCTAACCGAGTTCCGCGCTCGGAAGAAGCGAGCAGCTTCACTATCGCGTCCAGCATCTCGGCGAATGACTTGTAGTTGAGCGGGTTGGCAGCGTCTTCTGCGGGAGGTGTTTGCGTGCCGTCGGAAGGCTTCAGGATCGATTTGAGCGGCTTGGTGAGGCGGTTCTGGGGGAGGGGCTTCAGCGGTGAGCTACGCGTGGGTGTCCAGGACTGCGCAACTGCCTTGGTGGTGGGTATGTCGCATAGCTGCAGCTCGAAGTTGACTCTCTTCCGTGCGCTCGCAGAACTCGAGGGGATGTCGATGTCGGACGACGGCGATTGCTCTGGCGTGTTGGGCACTCTCTTCGCGGCTCGGAGCCTGGGCGGGATTGGCTTCTCGCCAAAGGGGTCTTGGAGGAATTGCACCGTCTCGTCGGCGGCTGTGTCTTCTTGGTCTTTGGGTGGAGTCGGAGGGCGCACGGAGAGAGATTCGAATTTGGACGACACCATGGCTATGCTGGGAACCGCTAACGAGAAAAGAGAATAAAGGCACAAGAAGACGCTGGCATCGCTCTGGTAGGCGTGAGTGAATGTGCAGAGCGTGTGGAGGTGATCGACTACCCCGGTCTAGAAGTCAAAGGTTGGTGTTGGCGACGCGTCTAGCGCGACGCTCCTCGTGCGCGTAAAGTGCTAACCTCAATCGCCATTCACTGGACGACGGGCACTCGAGCCAGCACCCGCCCCCTGCGTCCGAAACATGTTTTGTTGTGCCAGTCTGATGTGCAGAAGTCCTTCAGCGCATATTGTCATGTTCTCTGGTATGATGAGAACGAAGCAAAGGATCAACGTATTCCGTATTTGATGTTGCTTCTATGACATGATGCTGCCACAGTATGCAAGGGCATCAGACCAGATGGAATAATATCTGTTCTAAAAACGATAAACGATCAAGGCATTCCTGAATAGAGTATGGCTACTTGCTTTATGGCACCTGTTGTGGTTCGTTGCTTGTTGACGCGGACCCTGGAAAGCAACAGTCGATGCAGGTCCCACAATAGTGGGGCTTTCCGAGCGCGAGCTTCCACCCCGAGTGACGTGATGCGCTCTGATCGTGTCCCGCAACGCAACCGCCATGTTGTCGCAAAGAACGGGGAGAGGTCAGTACTACTGCGCAAGACTACCTTCCACGTGACTCGTTACTAACAGTGTCACAGCAAAGCTCGACGACGTCACCAGAATCCTTTCCGAGTTGAAAGCCGATCTGGACGCGAAGAAGCTGTCTACTCAGCGCATGTCTCCCACACTATATACGCATACGTTGCGCTGACCGATCGGATAGAGAAGCAGCAATTACTCGAACAACTCAAAGTACACGGCCGATCAGTCGAGAACTCCGATCCTATATTCACAGAAGATGTACGCTGCACTTTGCTAGGAGCGATGGGGACGGCATAGTGACCGTTACAGGGCCTTCGGACACTAGGACGCCATGCATTCGACGGAGAGACCACTGTCGCATCGCAAGAGGCTCTACGGTGTATAGCCAACGCCCTTCTCCTCCAACCCAAAACGCGCCAGATACTCGTCGATCTAGGCCATGGCCCACAGGCAGCGGAGAAGTTGAAGGTACGCATACGTTCGAGTACGACACAAAGCTCTATGCTAAAACCTCCCAGAGCGACAGCATCGACAACGAGTTCCTCGCCTCCCGCATCCTCTTCTTGACAACCTACGACACAACCCTCGACTACGCTTCACTCGTCCGCTCCAACGCCCTAGCCTCCAGCATCAACGCCGCCATAACGCGCCATGCTGCGCGCTACTCCAAGTCCGGACCAGGCGGTGCAAAAGGACACAACCAACCCATGGAACTCATGGCGCTCGCCGAAACCCTCAAGCTCGTCTTCAACATAATCCACTTCCACACCGACCTCAGCCCCCACTTCACCCCCTCCATACCCAGCGTCTTCAAGATCCTCGTCCGGCGCGGCGTAACCGAACCGCCCTTGACAGTGCCAGCCCGTGAATTGGTAAACGTGCTCCTGCACCTCGACCTAGAGTGCGAAGAAGGCAAAAAAGCCGTCTTCCCGTCTTTCGAACCGAGAACAAACGCAAGACACCTCATCTGCATCCTCGCCCGCGCCCTCATCGCCTATCCACCTAAGGAACTCGACGACGCCGTCGCACCCGTTTTGACGCTCATCCGCCGTATCTACGAATTCGCACCTGAAGACGTGAAGAAGACGATGGAGGAGATGCTCCTGCCCACAACTGAAGAACGCGATAAGCCGCTCGGGAAATCAAATACCTTACCCTCGCGGCTGCTCAACCTCTCCACGTCAGCAATGACACCCGCGCTCCGTGGATCAATCTCCTCAATGCTATTTGAGCTCTCGCATAAAGACCCAGCAACATTCGTTCATAACGTAGGCTATGGATATGCGTCTGGTTTTCTCATGTCGAATAATATTAGCATGCCGGAGGATTTGGTCAAGGTGAATGCGCCGGCGGGTGATTTGGAGGGGGGTATACCTGTGAACCCTATCACAGGACAGAGGCTGGATAGGGAGGAGCAGGTAGAGATGCCGCCTATGAGCCAGGAGGAGAAGGAGAGGGAGGCTGAGAGGTTGTTTGTGCTGTTTGAGAGGCTGAAAGCGACGGGTGTTATGGATGTGCCGAATCCGGTTGAGGAGGCGTATCGGTCGGGCAGGATTCAGGAGTTGCCGGATGATGAGGAGGATTGAGATGTGGTTGCGGGACATGGTCAACGGAACAGACCCCGTCATGCATATGTGCGACTGGGGCTGATATAGTGATGAGCAATGGATTGATGGTATTGAAGGATAGATATAAGATCTCTATTATACATGTGCCAAGATTCCCGGTTTCCTCCACTCCGCCTTTTTGCTGATATAATATGTTGAGTTCACCAAATGTGATATGAGATATTGCTCCAACCCCATGGAAATGCTTTCGTAGAACGTTAAGAAAAGTCAAGGGTATATTACGAGCTGGAAATATGTATCGACCGATGAAAGATGGTTTGTGGTACAGGCGATGCTCGAAGCAGTCGCTTAGAGATATATGTGGTAAATGTGCTGATGATATGTTGACGTTGATGGTGAAGATTCCAGACAGCCCGTCGCACACACTGGTGGTGGCTAGATCTCGCTGGGTGGTGACGCCGACTTCGAGTAGTTCGGATAGTTGCGATAGCCGACATCATTTCGATGATACCGGTCATCTGCGCGACGAGGATACGCAGCGGGAATCTCGATGCTGGGCAAGAAACCCGTGCCGTTCTCGTTGCTGTACTCGCTGATCCACAACGGGCCGAGAAGCCGCTTCAGAGTAGCAGCAATGAGACTGCCGAGGTATGCGTTGATGCGGCATACCGGGTAGGCGGCGAGCCAGATGAGAAGCACGATGCCTGCGCCTTTCTGCCAAGATGACATGCCAGCGACAGTCGCAAGAGGAGGTTGGTCGTGGATCTTTGCGACGCGGGAGGGGAGATCGCCGAGCCAGTCAAAGATACCGCATGTGTGTAGGAGGAAAGCGGAACTGCAAGCGCCGGCAGTGTAGGCGGCAAGTCTTGTGTTGAGCTTGTACAGGACAGTGAAGATGAATAGTGTACCGACCATGGCTATGAAGCTGCGGACGAGTAGTGTGACAAGTGCTGGTATCGCACTTAGGAAAGCGAAACCTTCGGCAATGTGCTCAGTCTGCGTCTCGAAAATGTCCAGTCGTTGCGCAATGCTGTCGACTGTAGAAAGAGAGCGATCTGCGATATCATTTGTTCGATTGATGGTATCCTGTGTGATGCCCATGTAGCTTGCTAGAACAGTGTAGCTGTCAACCTGAGCTTCGTGGTTGGATTGTATACTGGTTTTGGCCAGGTCATGGTATTCTTGAAGCTCGCCAGTGAAGTATTTGGTGAGCTGTGAGCTTTCTAGCATCAACTCCTGCGAGAAGTCCTGCATCTTCTCATGTATCCGGTCAATCTCGTTACTCTGACTCTCGGCCAGAGCTGTGATGAGATCCGAAATTGACACCTCCATGAAAGTACGGAACTTGTCATCCAGCGCACCCACAGTGGCGACGGCCTTCTCCTGAACCGCCTGGATGTCTTCTTTGAGCTGCTGGTGAGAGTCGCGAGCTTCTTCGGAGTACTGCCTCTGCTCACGGATCAAAGACTCGTACTCTTCGGTCGTCTTCTGCATGTTCGATGTTACATCACCCAGCACCTGGGTTAGGTTCTTGAATATCTCGAGGTGGTTTTCTCGCTCGATAACATCTCTGCTGGCTTGGCACATGACCACTGCGTTCTGGCGAGCGTTGCTGAATGATGTCCAGTACTGAGGGGTCGATTGCAGACTCTTGAGGCATTGGGTGTATTGATACTCTTTGAAGTCAGGGTAGCATTGCTTGTCGCTGGGAGCTTCTGGCCGGGCGTGCCACCAGCTACCGCCTTTACCACAATGTCTTGATGCCGGAACGAGGATGTCGCAATTTGCCGGTGGTGTTGGGTTCACTGGCTGAGCACTGAGGAGTTCGCATACAGCTAGTTTAGCGGCGTACTCGGTTTTAACGTTGTCCAGATACGCTTCCGGGCGAGATTTGGCGAAATTCGGTGCATGTTCCAGGAGCTTGCACTCGTTCATCAGGTGAGAAGCAGCCATGCGAGTGCAAGTAGGTGCTGTCTGCATGGAAACGACGAAGTCGACTGCTTGTGTGATCACTTTGTGGTTCCTGGATGTTGTGTATTGGAACAAGGAATCCACGTTGACTGTTGGAGCTGCATGTGCCGGCGGGGAGTGGTAATGAGAGGACACTGTGGGTAGGAGAAACAGCCCCAACGTGATCAGCTTCGCCTTGCTAAGTCCATGTTGAAGTTCCATGTGAGCGATAAGCTGGTGAGCAGTCAGGGTCATCGAAAGCACGCCACGGAAAGCTGGCGAGACAGAGCAGGAGCCAGGGAGTAGAAGAAAGTGGAGAAAATGAAGAAGGCGAGAGGTCAAGGATGGTAAGATCTCTATTAGTATCGACCATGTGAGTTCACGATATGGTGAGAGAGCAAAGCAGACGCAACGTTGAAGAGCCTGAAGCATGACGCCTGCCGCGACAGGAAGGTGAGGCCAAATCTGTGGTAAGAGCACGCGCTGTTAGTCGACGATCAAAAGGCACATGCGTGGGTGAGAGGACGGTCAGTCGAAGGTATCAAGCCTCGAGATTTGAGGTTGTATTGTACAACATGTTCCCCAGGGAGTGATGACGACCGGAGTGTTGTGGTGTTGAGGGGTGTTCGTGGGGGAAGGTGCAACCGCTCAGCCAATCAGAGACGTCGATGACGCGCTATCACGAGACCGGATGAGCTAGCAGCGAGTTGGAGATTCCGAAAACTCTCGCGATAATCATTGCCGGCATCACATCAACATGTTCGCCCCAGCACGACGGCGGTGCGCCCAAAGCTTCGCAAAGGCCTCGAGCCAGAGCAGCGACTCAATACCGACTTTCCTGCTGCCCGTATTTTCCCGGCCCGCGCCGACCAGGACTTTTACCTCGACGGCAT